TGAAGTCAAACGACGTTGCTCTGGTTTCCTCAGGTTTTTAAGTAAGTGGAAGCAAACAGATGCTCGAGAACTAGTGAGGCATTTTGACAAATCTTTAGGAGAAATTGAAAATGAGGTGCATACGGAAATAAAGTTGCAGAAGGGTAATAGATTAGTAGCAGAAGTGTCCTGAGTTGTATTTCCGTGATTGCTTTGTTCCTAGAACATAGCCATAGACACCCAACGCAGCGGGATTCCGTCATAATGGATGGATTCATAAAACAAACCCTGGAACAAATCACACAAATGTTCCGAAATCTCATTCTAACCACTTTTAGTTCTTCTATACAACAAAATTATTCTTTTGGTCAAACTTATTTTTTCTAACTTGCTTGGTCGAACCAGGTTCTTTGTGAGAAGCACAAAGATCGAAGAAGATACAAGTAATACAAAAAGAGGATGAGACAAAAAGTGGTCAAAAGTAAGCTCCTTAATGACATGATTAAAGATTTGTTGCTTTTCGTTTACAATCGTACTTACTCGTGCTGCGTTTATTCGCTGCACTTATTTGCTAATGAATTTTCGCGCAAGCGAAATGAGAGTTAAGGGGTTGTAAAGACGCATTCATCCCGATTTTTCTCAAACAGGGAAAGTAGTACGTTCCGTTCCTGGATCGCAGTCGAAGGCGGTACCGCCTGGCATGAAGTGCTTTGAAGCGACAGGTGGGCGGAGGTGTGGAGTGCAACCGAGTGAAGAAGCACGTAAACGAAGCGAGGCAGACAAGCGTGGGGTAATGATTCTTCGACTGCTTTTCTATGCAGTTGACACATTGAATCTCATTTGGAAACAACAATGACCGCTCATCACAAATGTGCATCACTCGTGACGCAATCATCGCAAGACACTTTCACACAACCACAGCTGCTCAAACGCCCTTCAACGGCCGAGATTTAATCGTAGGAAAAAGCCTGAATGGGAGCAACAGGCTGAATAGATGCTTAAAAAGGAAATCTTGAAGCTTTTACGTAATCAAATCTTACATGTTTGCCAGTCATGAACTGAAAGTAACACCGAAAAGGCGTAGTCCGTCTCAGATCTTTAATCAAATCAAAGTTCACCTGGAAATCAACTCACAGTGAAACTATTATCCTCTAGTCTCTTCACCTTCGTGAGAGTGAACATACTTCTTAAAATAGTTACTGTTGTTAAAAGCAAGTGCTAATTTCATTTCAACTACTTGATGGATACTTTTGAAAAACCGATGTGATGAAAAAAAAATTAGTTTTTTTTTCTGGCAAAGACGCGGTTGTAGCCAAAATTAGCGATGAATTCGACAATTCACTGAATAATCTAGGAAGAATCAATTCTGCTGAGGTGCTTCGCTTGAACAATGATCTGGACCGCAAAATGCAAAAAAAATTGATAAGTTCCGTGAAACCATTGGAATTCTGAATGGTACAACAGGTTTTGAAGGTTTTTCACTCCAAGATAGAATACTTTCTTTGAGACGAGAAAACTTTTCGTCGCTTACTGGCGCCGAGAGTCAAATATGATGCGCGAGTTTACGAAAAAGCGTCCGTGAAGAGTCAAATATATATTCCATTTCTTTTCAGCCTCTTCTCCGACATAAATTTTTTGGCTAAAACTGTTCAAGTGAACTCCATTTTGAGCCTAAAATTAAGCATGAAATATTCAAAAAATACAGCTGACAGCCGTTTTCTTTAGCAATATATCATAGTTTTGATTGTAGTCGTTATGATGAATGATGATTTTTGGATATTCACGGGTATGGAAAAACTACAAAAGAGTGCCCGACTTAGATCATAAGAACTTTCAAGTAGTTATACTATGTGGTTTTGTTGTGGGCCTTAGTAAAATATGGAAAATCGAGAAGAACTACTGTCTATTGATGAGAAATTAGAAAGTCCTCAAGACATCGAAGCAAACATTGCTCTATTTGCTAGCGACGGAGCTTCAAGTGAGGGTGCAAATTAGTCAATGCAAGAAGATTTAATCACTTTTTGGAGGGCGTGCCTCGAAACAAATGCACATAGTTGAAAAACCGTGAAATCAACTATGACCTACTTTCCGCTTGAAATGTCAAGAGCAAGTGGAAAGAGCTTAAATCTAAGTTAAAAGAAAGAGTGAAAACCTCAGAAGAGTACGTGTGAGTAAATTATATTTCAAAAGGAAACAAGACATTGTGTTGTTGATGAGCTATCATTAGGTTGCTTTTGTATTTTGAAGTTCAACAGCTATTATTTCCCATTCTTCGTTGCCTTTCAACAAGTAGTCACATTTCCAAAACGTTCTCTGCAAAAACCGTTCCAAGGGAGGAAACATCGGAGAGCACCTCTGCCACCGTGAGCGAAAACTTTTTGGAACAAATTATAGCTAGCTCACTGAGAACCCAGTGGTCTACTCATTGATACTTTGGGGATAAGTTCTGAGAAAATGCTTGTAAAACATTTATTTATGCACCTATTACACCCGAACAAAGACATAACTAATAGCCAAAGTACTCCCCTTCAACTTCAAGCATTCGTCAAACTTTTTGAACCATCTGTGCACCGTACGTTTGCTAAGTGTGTTTTCGCCCCAAGCCAGATTGATGCGTTCACCTGCCACCGTTGTATTCAGACCCAGCAGCCATTCGTGCATCATCAACAACCTAATTTGCTCGTTTGTTGACTCTATCTTGAAATAAATAGATAAATAATATAGCAATCAAAGCAGGAGAAGACGGGCTTTCAAATAAACTCAAAAACACAAAAAATGGCCGACACCCAAAAAAGTTACAAGCATTTTTTCGGAACTTTTCCCCAACCTATTAGTTCAGTGATTGACTGAATCGGGCATACGGATTTATTCTGCTAGCAAAAGCGATGCCATTAGAGTGACGCTGGAGTTGTTGAAAATTGAAGAAATACGGAGAAGACAAACTTTGATGAATAAAACGGACATGTTCGCTTGTGGCCACTTATATCAGTAGTCGTAATGATTGTTAGCTACGGAGGAGCAACCTCGAAGAGCGGTTTATGGCAGCGTTCTCTACGTAAGCGAAAATTTATGCTAATCCAACAACACGACAAATAACAACCTGTCTCCAATCACAACATCTGCGCTTTTCGGGATTGGAAATTTTAGACCGGAAACAACCCATCAAATCGGTTAGTAACAAAAAAAAAGAATTATAAAGATCGAAACCGATGTCACTCGCATATGCCTGTTGTCGACATTGTGAAAAGAAATTTGAAACTTACCATGACTGGGCTCGAAATGCAGCACTTCAAGGAAACTACAAGTGCAGGGAAGGGCACAAGATTAGTTTTTGTGAAGGAGAATACACAAAAGACTTTGGAGAGAGTAATTCTGATGCACAAAGCGTTCATTAATCGATGAAAACAATACGATGAATTGGACCAGTGTAGTTCAGGCCGAGTCCTATGATGACTCGATCCTCCGTAGGCTCATGATAAGTGTTTTGATGCGACGTAAGTCGGCAAATTAAGTTATTTTTTATTAGTGGGAATTTGACATGGCAGAAATCTGCTCTCCGAGTTTTTGATGAAATGTTGTGCTAAAGAAAGGTCTCAATATGTTCACGTGAAAATATTATCAGACTAAAATCAGCCCTCTTAAACCGCGACAAATGAACCTCTGCCGCAACTTTGGGCATCATGGATCTACCAAACCTTAATCACCAAAACCTCTACGAGCTCGTAGAAGTTATAAGAACTTTTCTTTGAAAATACAATATTCTTATGCATGTTGGTAGTTCTTTGAAGACGGTGACGGCAAAAATAATGGTTTGGAGGGCACTCAAGCGAATTTATATAATATTCGACGTTCATCAGCACATTCCGCCGACCTAAAGGGAGCATGCCTTTGAAGAGCGATATCTATGTGGACCAAGAATACACTATATTTTACGTTGGACCAGAGAAAAGTCAGGAAAACTGGGTTTTGCGAGACAGTCGATCTGTTATTTAGTTCTCAAGAAAGAAGAAAAAAAGAAGTTGCAAGGCAGAAAAGTTTATTAGAGCATTCAAAAAACTGCTAGCATTGTAAGAACGCTGTAGTGCCCACGCCGGGTGAAATGTACTGATATAACTTTCCTTCAAAAAAAGACAGAAATAGTGACAAAAAAAATTCGTTAATCTTTATCTTGTGCATTGGCAACGATCTCAGAGCATATTGTGTCGGTAGTTTGTCCGAAGACGGAAATAAGGTTTGATCGTCTATTGTTGTAACTATCCGTCGTGACAAATTGAGCCGATCGTTGTGTGGTACAATTATGCGAAAGTGAACAATCTTCCAGGTGAATGCGTTTTGGAAAAGAATGGTCTACTTTTTGGTACCTGCTTGTGATGTTTTGGTGTAGTGAAAAGCCTAAAGGCAAAGTAGAACACAATCACAAAACATCAGCACACATTACCTAGTAATCATTCTTGGCTCAACCAAAAATTCATAGATTAGAATCATACGCTGTTAGACCATCTATAAATCGTTAACTATTAGAAGTACCATCATCAATAACGACCCCTCTTCCAGTTAGTGATAAACGGAGAAGGCATCGATAAATTCCTTTCGGCAAGTCGCATACCAGGAAGGTAAGTGGGCACTTTATTCTATGAGTCTGGCCATGTTTCTGGGTTATAGCTTGTCAAATGACACAAAATGCATGCGTTTTACGTATTATGGGCTCCTTTACCATTTCTGCAAACGCTCCTAATTTTGGTGGTATGGGACAATGCGTATTTTTCAATATGGGCATGCTAGTTTTATTCAAATAAACCATTCCTCGATAACCGAAATAATTTAGGGTTGTGAACACAGCAGAAATGTAGCGAAGCTCTGCTCTTCTGATCTGTGGATATCAGTGGTATGTGTAATAGTACTTACTGCGTGATACTATGAATTATATTACAAAAAATCTTATTCCCAGCACTTTAAAGTGTTTTACGATTTTCAATTGTCCCTATTTATAACTAAGAGAATTGAGTGGTAAGCAAAAACGCGGCCTCAGGCGGAAATCGAACCCGCGTTTATCATATCCGGAACCCGCGTTTCATCCTACCCGGGGACGCGTGCTCTACCACTACACCAGCGAGGCACGTTTGCCCGACCACTCATTCTTCAACAACTCAATGTTAGCTGTCAGCTACCAACCTTTAACAGGTTTGGTCGGGTATGCGATTTCGCTTCATAAACCCAGTTGAGCCCAGCTATTCCAATTACTAGTACTCGGAAATAATAGTAATTCAATGCATTTCGCATTGTTATGATGTTTTCTAAATACCTAAGAGAACTGAGTGGTGAGGAAAAATCACTGGTGAAGAATGAGTGGTCGAGCAAACGTGCCTCGGTGGTGTAGTGGTAGAGCACGCGCCCCCGAATAGAATGAGACGCGGGTTCGATTCCTGCCTGAGGCCGCGTTTTTGCTCACCACTCAATTCTCTTAGTTATTTAGGAAAATTATTATAATGCGAAATGCATTAAAATACTATTAATTCCTATCTATAACATTTTTCATGCACGTATGTCCCATACAATAACTTCTATTCAGCAGTCCTCGTCTTCTTCACAGCCGATTAACCGAATCACAGATTGTCCACAAAGTTTCGTCGTTGATGTGGATCTTCGTCTTTGTTGTCGTTTACGCGCGGTCTTGTTCAATGCTGCAACGCTCGAACGAGGAACCTCACTCGGCGACGTCCTTTTATGTGATATGGTTGTTTTGCTATCTACCTCCCGACATTGAGTATTCTCCGAGTGATCTATCTTGCAGCAGTCGGTAACATTATCAGCAGTTACAAAATACTTCTGTACAGCATGATACATCATAAGGCTCCGAAACATAAGGCAGAATTGCACTTGAGAGTCAGAATAATCACAAAGAAATCTGATATAATTCCGCGACTTTCCATTTTTCAGCAAGCACGAGAATGCGAATACACGTTCATTCTTTACGATTTAACAGTACAGAGTTCGTATTAGTGGCTAACGTTTCGGTGATTTCGCCCTTTGTCAGAGCCGTATTTTGTTGTTTACTAGTCCCACTAGTCAATACGTAGACTAGCCGCACCGAGTATTACATGGGTGATGCATCAAATTTAGAATAGTTGCAAAATATTCCTGGGTATTCATCTGAAAATATAAAGTGGTATGCAAAGATTTGACAACAGACGAGGACTGAATCCGAGTTTCATCCATACCGGAGGCGCGTGCTACTGCTACATCACCGATCATTTCAATATTGAAGGAAGAATGCTAGCAGAAGAAGCGGCATTGGTGGTGGAGTAATGGCACACGTCTGGATGGATGAAAACGCAGGTTCAACTCCTCATGTTGAATATTTTGCATACCACTCACTACTTCTAAGTGAATCTCTATTACATCATCCACTGCTAAAAAGAGTAATCACGAACATCCGCTTAGATTACACTCTCGAAATATTTCTAATAACTGTATGAAATTCAAAGTTGAACCGATAGGAAGAGTGCTTCGTGATCATACGGGCTTTGCCCTATATATTAGGCTAGTTTTTTTCTGATCTGACCAGGCATAATCTTAACCCATTCAAGACTCTGAGCGGCATGCGCTTACTGAGTAACAAAAAGACTTGGAAACAATAAAACGATGAGCTCAAAGATTAAGCTGTTACTGTGCGAACCAACATGTGTCCATCACGTTCTTACGCTCGGGGCAAGAGTGCTTGGTTGAGTAGATTGCGTGTCATCTTGACCTTTCCGGTCTCTGAACAACTCGAAACTATCAAAACGCCAGCCATGATATAGTATTTGACTGAATTCAATAGATTTTACTGTTAACGTTCTCGCGCGTATGCACATCAATAAACCACGTATTATATGGATAATGTTGAGGTTAATGGAAAGTTAACCCTGGAAATCAAAATCGTGTGTTTCCACGATATGGTTTCGCCTTCCCTACTGTAGTAGCAGACAAGATTGAGTCAAAAAATGTCTATGTCATTAAAAAGTTAGATTGAGAGAATGTTTCGCAAAAATGTTAAGAAGTTGTGAAGCGCTACAAAGGCAGATGTGGTCAAGGTCTTCACCTTTATTTCTTGTGTTAGAACAAACTCATCGTCGATTTTCATGCAGTTTCCATAACAGAAAAAGTGACCACATACAGACTCATAAAGGTTTGAGCTTTGTAATTTCATAAAGTTTGAATACATTTATTGCTTAAAACGAATATTGTTCCAGTTCAGATTGTGTCCTTCCAGATCTTTCACCAGACAAAGTTTTCCACGTTGATCAATCCCTAAGCGATGCGCCATGCATTCGTCTTCAATTTTTGACTTCGTTGAACGTGATTGAATGCGTTCTGATCTATACAATGATTCGCAGTGCCATACCGAGTCATGCCGATTGACACCGGAGAGATGGAAGGCTTGGTGAGCCACGAGCACGAGATCGAATCATCGTCTTAGTGTGCGACAAAGAGCGCCTTTAACCACTCTGCTACATGCACTTCCACAGCTCGTTAGCTTCCAAAGTTTGCTCTTATGACTTTGCAAGAACTTTGACCTATTTTTAAACATATCAGATCCAACTACGTTGATCACAATCGAATTCAATCAAGGGTAAGCTTTCAGTTCGTCCTAGACTAAGGATAAAGCTGTCACTTGTTATTGTATTTTGACATCACCGGAGGGCCGCGTCGGAAAAACCAACGGGCTGTGCTTGCCTTTGATTTACAGATGAATATTTTTTTCGATCTGCCTCCACTGTTTAACTTGAAGACTATCTTATTATGAAAACTACACTGTTGACAAGTATCAAGCTCTATTTTTAGGTGACACATATAAAAATTTATGAGTTTGACAATGTGATGATGTAAAAGACCGTCACACGAGAAAAACGAAAGAATAAGATACTTCGCATAAGCAGGGATTGGACTGCATCGTCTCGAAAATGAAGTTTATATTCACATTTGATGGACGAATGAAATTAGGAAGGCGCTAGAACAGAGAGACGCACTTTGATAGAGCGCAGTAGTCTAATCAATCAGTTGGTTTTTCTCTTTTCCAAACCGATTCTACTGATTTTCCATCCTTATAATAATGCAAAGAAAACCATTGTGGAAGGGAAACATTTCAAATAAGAGAGAAAACAATCATCGATTGATTCGGAACGCTGGAAAACTGTTGAGAAATTGCCAATGAAAAATTTAGAAATGAAGTTTAGCATAAGCTACCAGACACTAACATCACCATTGCTGCCGAAAATTCTACTAACTCCTTCTTAGAGTTATAGTGTAGAAAGGGTTGTGGTAGAACAAGCGTCGTAGGGCAATTGGTCAACCCTCTCTGGAAAAGGGTGAGATGCGGGTTTAAGTCTCGACTGGCGTCGAAGTTTTGCTCACCACTTAACATCATTGTTTATATCCATTAAATCATACAGTCATAAAAAAGGGTAAATAAGAATTCCTTTCAATTCTATCAATAGTTCCGTATACAATGGTCAGAGTGAAGAAAAGAATAGAAGAAGAAAGGAAGGAGAGCAAGGACAGCGCAGTGGTGTCGTGGAAGCAAATTACCCTCTCGAGTGGACGGTGTTCTCCCATGACACGAAACTCAATAGCCGTGCATGTATTGTCGCGTAGTCGCGCATTTCAAATGCGTATCTCATCCTGTATGCACTCGGCCAGTCATGCCGGAAGCACTGCTCAATGCTTTCGCTGTTGAAGGACGAATTCTCACTCCCTCAATTGTAAAACTAATTCGCCACATATGATATATGAACAGAAATGTGAAGAATATAGTGAAGTCCATAATGCAGTTTTTTTGGTAAGGTGATAAGAGGCTTTCAATAACAGTATTTATTGTACAAAATGACAATACAGCACAATATAACCACGGCTGACGCTATGGCGCTTCGCCTTCTTCAAAGCCTGCAAAGGTCAAAATGATTTGCTATTCACTCAGTCGAACACTTTCGTAACCCTGACAGAAGGATGTAACAAGCAAATCTTTTTTTGCTCTTATCTCAAAGTAAATGGCGTCTTCAAGTCCTCTATTCGTTCATTGAAGAAGAGCGGCTCAAAGTCCTGCGTTGGCTGGGAATTTGCCTAACTCAGTCCATAGAATTAGCCTGAGTTATGGTACGAGATCGTAACTACCCTGGAAGTCAATTTTGGACTTTTAATGACTACCCAAGAAGCTCTATGACTTTTCATTGTTAATCTGAATTTCTGAGGGCAACGACTTTTACATCAATAACTTCCTTCTTATGTTTTTGGTTCTTATGCTTGCCTAATGGTGAGTATTTTGCTTGGTATTGAGTACTCCAGCTAAATGCTCCCTTATACGCACGCTGAGTGACACACCTGTTTCAGTAATACAATCGTCGACGCATGCTTTGAGAGAGATTATGTATTTTGTGACAGATGTTTTGCAATCACCGCCTTATTGTTAGAGCTATACAGTTTTTTTGTTCACGAAGGCGATCAGGCAATTGGTCAAATTTGTCGACAACTGTGTGTTTGGAGGCTTTTCGATTACTGCTGCCTTGTTGCCCAAACCTGCCTTATTGGACACCGTTCAGTAGCTGTGATTGCTTGAAGGGAAAATATTTTCATTTCTTTAACTGAAAGCCAAGTGGCTCCCATTATTAAACGACCAGTCATTATAATCAAAAGAGCACAAAGTGGAATCAAAAGCCAAATATCATAAACATACTGGTTCAATAACTTTTCTCTCATCCATCACAAACAAAAGTGTACGCGTGAGAACTATGTTTCAGACAGCTAGCAGTGTCTGCACAAAAAGAGAGCCAAGGAAGAATATCTAAACTTGACGCAAAAAAGTCATTTCAGATAGATATCGGTCTATCTATGAGGCATCTATGAGACGGTGAGAGCTTCTCGGATTACATTTAGAGAAAAAGCGATAGCTTCTGCCGTCGAGTCTCGTGAAAATAAAATCCAGTCAATATAATTCCAAAAAAAAGAATGATTTAAGCTCAAAAAGGGGTTTGGTACGCCAGGGTCATACACCGGTGTTTCGGAGGTTCGTCCTCCTCATCAGTGACCCCCGTCCCACATTCAGCCCTGCATTGAAGCAAGGATGGAGGCGCATGTGGTGAT